GATAAACAATAGTTTATAAATCAAAACTTGAAAAACACCCGTGTCTTAGATCATTAAACGTGTTTAATACAGGATACAGAGTGACCCCAAAAGACGTTGTAGTAGCAATTGGATCATAGCATTCTACATGATGTTCAGTTTTATGTTCATCAGTTCTAAAATAATCAAAATAATGCAAAGAGAAAAACACATTTTTCTAAAGCGATTAATGAACATTCGACCTACATAAACTTTTTTGTGTAATAACATACTTTCAAGCCTCACCCTTTTCATTATAGGTGTGCGTACAAAGAATCAAAGAGAAGAGCTACGTGTCCAGGGAAAGTCCCTGAATTATGTAGAGCATGTCGAACTTGTTTAGCATTGTGGGTGACGTAGCATCCTGTTCTTTTCACTTTGGGATAACTATACAAGTTCCTTCATATAACAATGCCACGAAAATGAAAGTAAGCTCTTATAGGGATGAACATATATATGTCATACATAAGGACCCAATCGTAGTAGAGCATGAACGATTTAACTACAATTGATATTTACCTGCAGAAGAATTAAGTGACCTATTTTTTAAGATTAAATTCAAATTCGTGACATCAAGAAATGATGAGTAAAATAATGTTCACAAGATGTGCAACACAAACAGAGTTGCTTCTGCACGTCAGGCTGATAAGTTCTTCATTTTTATATTTCCTTAACTTCTTATTTCCATTAATCTGTTCATACATTGGTTACATGAAATGTTATGTTTACTAAATATCTTTATTACTTGATTATATTTCATTATAACCCCTTAATTAAACAGCATAACCAAAATATGTAACTTTTATATTACGTATTACTGGTAAATAATTATATACAAAAGTTAAATCATATTTTTTATTTTTTTCTCCAAATTATTCTAAAAGGGACAATTAATAACACGTCTTTTTGGGTTCATTTTCTCTCTAGAAAAGAAACATTAGTTAAGCTGTCTGATTTCTTATTTTTATTTCGGATAATTTAAATATCTCCTTTATTGATTAATTTATACAGTCTTGCGTACAAATTAACACAGAATACTGCATAATTACAAGTTGTATCATGGGTAGTGTGTGTTTTTCATTTATTAACAATTCCTAGAACGTCAAATGTAGACATTAGAAAATGTAGAAGAGATAAAACACGTTTTTTATTTGAGCACAGTACGCACGAAAGTGACATACAATTACACTTGCAGTTATTACAATATATGTAATCAAACTAAGTGAACATATAAATTCATTTCCATAGCACGACGAGTTAAAAGTGTACAAAAAATAAGTAGCTACACTATAAAGTACATGAAACACATTGAAATGTCATGTACTAGGTACACAAAAAGTTACTACAAAACAAAGTTGCGCAGTAATGAGATACTTTAATTTAATTACGTAATGTTATGTGTAAGGGTTGTTTTTCTGTTGGTTTTATTTTTGTTTTGTTTTTTACAGTGGGTCCATATTAATAATTAGTCGTTTGGGTCTATTTAAGAAAAGAGTCCTGCAAATGTTATTCAAAGTATACATAAAATTATTAAAGTGTATACATTCCAGCTCTGCCGAGCATAGTATAAATACCTGGGTACAGGCATTCTTCACATATGTACTATACACAATTAAGCCATACCGGTGCGGTAAGTATCCAATATGAAGAAAACACTTTCTGTCTGTCTGTGCACACATCTCCTACTAAACGAGTTGACCGGTACAGACCAAACTTGGCATGCTAACTTAGTAGTGCAAAAGCAAATCAAGTTCTACTAAACTTTGCCATAGATTGAAAAATAAAAACATTTTATAGAATAACCCCTATATCGTTACTGCAGTAGCTATGGTAAACAGTTGAGTTTGAACAAAACTCACACCACAATAAAATTCTAAATGTCAAAGATTGTAAAAAAAATATTTTCAGTATTTTGACTTGTTTCCATAATAACCAAAATATACAGTAATAAAATATCCAGCTACAAGGCAGATCAATCGTTTCGGCATCGGGCTTTAGGTCTTTGTAGACCTGGGAGGGTCAGGTACTTAGAATAAATATATAGCTGCTGTTTAAGTTTCCCGCTCTTTTCTGATTCACGCCATTTAATTTCGGGTTTATACTAGGGTTAGAAGCCTTAATTAGATAAGTATTTCATAATTAAAATATTTTAGGATATTTCTTATTTCTTGATACAGAGTATAATATTCCGTAGAAGCAAAATTCAAGATTATTATTAAATTTAATGAATTAAATGTACCACATTCAGACAGTAAAAATCTTAACCACATCTCTACTGTGAAATGGGCTGCTTTGAACAAGAAGTGACGCAACTGCTTTACCATTTCTGCGAAGCTTCACGCCTCGACTTCTATATCTCCTCACTTCCAATCCATTTTCCTTGTCTTACAACAATTTTCTTGGATAATGAACGCTACTGAAAATCCTCGCAGAGATTTTGTGCTCATTTTCTGCCAATCTGTGCATATTTTGCAGGTTTTCAATAGAAAAAAAGACGGAGGACTGAAGTCTCCTTAAAATAACTTGCAACGCTTTTAAGGTAAGACATTTAAAGTGCATTACATGAGCTTTAAAAAGAAAGTCCATTGTATTTACTTGTAGACTTTCATCGGATCTGTCAGACTTTCATCACGGGCAGAGATGGGTATGCAATTTGCCTCTCAAAAAATTTGTAAAATTGCACATCTACTTAATTATACATATATATAACTACAATAGTTTTCATGGATATATCATGACTAAGAACAGTTATATTTTCAGCTACATCGTCTGCGTCAAATTATATTCACCCTAAGTAAATTTGATTGAAAGTACACAAATATCTACACAAAAGAAAACTATTAATCACGTATTCAAAGTATTCCTTTTTTCACACTGGGTTAGAGTTTGATTCTTTGAAAAAATAAACTTGGTCTTCGAACTAAATATTAGGGGGTTTCCATATGAGTATGACAGTATTAGAAAATTACCAAGAATAATTTGTCAGGTTCTGCCTCATTCACTATAGAAAGTTTAGTCTTCCCCCAGTATCTAAAAGAAACACTCAACGTTCATTAATAAATGTGTATAATTCTCCTGTTTATAATAAAATAAAACAACTTCAGATTTAAATAATAATAATTATCAAGATCATATGTGTGAGTGTTTTTACTTATTTTCTATCAAACGCGAAAAAAAAAAGAATGAATCAAGCAAACAAGTGACTATTTGACAAGTTACACAGGTTTAGCGGTGTCTTATATCCTTAGAACATCTAAGAATGAGCATTGCTGCATTCGGTTAACAAATGTGTTTGAATACATTTGGAACCTTTAAGACGACTTTTATCTCCACTGAATGCATATCTGTTTTATATTTAAAAATGCACAAAAACACGAAATACGATTAGCAACAAACCATTCTTCTCCATACATGCGCATCATTCTACTATAACTTAGGCAGATATCTCTCTTGTCTGTTGTCAGATTTGTTGAACAAGTAAGAAACAATAATAAGAAATTCTTACGAAGTCACTAAAAACAACAATGTAGCTTTGATGTAATTTCAATGTTTCCACAAATACCGACCTCTTACGTCATAAGACGATAATCTCGATATTTGTGTGAAGAGCACTTTTTTAAAGAATTGAAAACTTAGGTGATTCCAAAAACAAAATTGCAAATTGTTTGCTATAATTTCTTCATTTGAGAAAGTCAAAGACATTTCCTTTCTACTAGAAAAATTATATGGACAACTTGGACGAAATAATTCTTCTATTTTTGTTATTTTTATATTAAACGCCTCATTCATCACCAGGCCTTAAGAAATATATTACTATTATATTTCAACTTTAGCTTCATTAATAAGTGGATAAAATATGTTAGTAAATATATTGCTCTCTTCCGTTAGTTTGATATCAAAATACAAAATAATAAAACTGTTTTCCAAATCTAAACGAACTTTTTAAGTTGAACAGGAGTGATACTATCCGACACTTTTATCATCATAACCCAGGCATGTTCTTCTGGTTAGCGTGCCGGATGGTGAATTCGAAGTTGTCGTGGGTGCGTTATAAGGATATCTTTTATATCCTGCTATTCGATTACAGCAGCCCAAGAGTCGGTGGTTAGTACTAGTGGCTAGCTGCCGTCCTTTTAGACCATTAATCTAAAATTAGGGATGGCTAGTGCAGATAGCCCTTGTGCAGTTTTCGCGAATGCCTGAAACAAAACAAATTTATCACCAGGCAGGGACTGCTTTCACTTTTCTGTTGATTTCAGTTTATACTAGTAATTATATAAAACTAATTCAGTCAACTGAATGGTTGACAAAGTATGTTATTCAAAACTATGTTCGTAGAAATAAAGATATTTATATGTTGTTGTTGTTTTTTTTGTTGTTTTTTCAAATTACTCAAATAAATTATTCAAACAAAAAATGAATAGGAAAATGATCCCAATAATAAAAGTAAAAAAAAATCAGTTCTCACACAAAATTAAAAATCTATTTGATGAAGGGGTTCAGAACTTTTTAATTTTTTGATAAAAAAAATGCTAATTTAATAAAGGTCACAAATTTCTTGGGTACTTAATAAGAAACGTGATAATTTGAAAATGCTACGAAAATCTAAAATCCCCATTGTCATAATTACTAATCTTGATTGTAAGTTATCAGAAATTTTCTGGTAGTTCATAGGTGAACTTTAGATTTAACAAGAATGCTTAGGGAAAGAGTAAGGTCGTGATTGTTAGTTGATTACATCTACAAGACTTGGCACGCGCGACATATATCAACTGTATGGCGTAATGTTTGGAAGTGTAGTAGGTTGTTTTCTTGCACAACCATACTAACAGGGTGGAGTTGTGAGGTGATTAAAGCTTTGGTAACAATGCATTTTAACAACAAAGCCAAGAACGTTTTCTAACTTTCCTTTTGTCATTTTTGTCTGCGATGAACACCTTATGAGCCTTCGTTCTCCTGGTGAGGTAAAAATCATGACCTCGGAAGCCTTATTATGCAGCAGAGATGAGCACAACGAATGCTATGTGGCTTGGCTTGAAGCACCAATATGAAAACTGGCTTTCCCCGCTATATATGACCGTCCGCCCACTTCTGCTTTTCTGCACTATTTAAGCTCTTGCTTTCTGAAAGATCTCCACAATAAGCTTTCCATTGTAGACGTGAATTATTCAAGTGGACCGAAGGTACAGTTATTATCTACTTTGTTTCTCCAATGTTTTAACTTGATATATTATTATTAATGAGACAAAATAACATTTGCAACAACAAGCCCGATTAATGTTTTGCCATGTTTGTTTGTTTGTAATTAAGCACAAAACTACACAATGGGCTATCTGTTCTCTACCCACTACGGGTATCGAAATCCGGACTCTAGCGTTGTAAGTCCGTAGGCATTCCGCTGTGCCACTGTGGGGCATTTGGCATGTTAAACTAAAAAATTGACTTATTTTTATAATGATAAGTTTACAAGGAAGCTTTAATGTAAATTTAAATTCGGTATTTCTAAAAACTTAAGTACTTAGAAGTTAGATAGACATTTCTGTTCACGGTGTTGTTGTTTTTTTTAACTAAGAGTTAAGCTTTAGGTATACGGTATAGGAAAATCTTATGTATTCAGCTTCGATTTGCTTGCTTTAGGAATTTCAGTATTATGAAAATTAATGGTACTAGCTTCCAAATCTTTATCTTGTGAGCTAGCAAAGTATTATACTCTGGTAAGATAATCCATTTTCCTTGTGATTCAGTATAGCTGTTTCATATTTCTTAGTTCATATTTGTTTGTTGGTACATCTGTGCTGTGATGTACCTACTACGGGTAGTGAAACCCAGTTTTTGGTGTTATAAGCCTTTAGACTTAAAGTTGAGCCACTGGAGGAGGAGGGTCAATGTGGTTTTTTTCCCCACTAGTATTTTTTTTTAATATACGCACATTTTCCCTTTTATGGTCCTTATGCCAGAGTGCCAGGTGTATTTGCAGTTTGTTAGTTTCTTTTAGAATTTTTGCTTAAAGCTGTCTGTGTGTGTGTGTTTTGTCATAGCAAAGCCATATTGGGCTATCCGCTGTGTCTACCGAGGAGAATCGAACCTCTGATTTTAGCGTTGTAAATCCGAAGACTTACCGCTGTCCCTCAGGGGACTGTTTAAAGCTACACAAGGGCTATCTTCGCCGTCCCGAATTTTAAATTGATAGATTAAAAGAGCTAGTCAACAGCCCCCAACGTCAATATTTAAGAGTTCTTGTGTCTGACCGAATAGTGGGATTTGACTGTCACGTTTATAGCACATCCATGGTCCCAAAGTGTAGAATGTGTTTGTGTGGCAATAGATTTACAGTCTGGGCACACTAACCATTTAGCCACAGCCAGCTCTATTCTTACAGAATTATACCTTCCATCAGGCATAGATAAGAATAACCTAAAGTAATTTTACAAGTCTTAAGAAAAAACACCCTTACCAATAAAACCAAAGTGTGAACCAGCTAGAGATATTTAAAGTTATCACTTCAATTATCCCAAAACAATGTATTTTGATAAAGTACTATGCAAACTTATATATCTATCTATAAATCGCATTTTTACGAGTAGTTGTCTGAAAGTGAAATAGATAGACACGTTTAGTGATTATTCCACAATAATCACAAAATGTTATGTTTGGGAAAGCATAATAAAGAGGAAATTAGATGAAAGCAAATTAGATGTCAAACTCTGGGTTACAGTGATATATATAATATGTGTGTGTGTGGATATAGGCAGGCAGAAACAAAATGAACTCAGAAAGTAACGTGTATTAGTGCAACATTGGGAATACTATTTTAATTTATGAAATTAGAATAAATAATGTTACAAAATGTTTCAAATATAATTACTTTCCAAAATTATCAGATTTAGAGTTTTTCACTGAAACCCTTGCATGTACAAGTTTTGTCGAAATGTTGTATTTACGGAAAATTAGTTGAAGGTATTTCGAGTTACCTGTGCTATTTTAATTTCTTTCCTTCTTTATGCCATATTCACGAAAAAAATATTTTATATTGCTTTTGCTAAATTTTATATTGCTAAATAATGAAAAACGCAATCTAATAATGTTTAAATTTTTTGAACTAGTTATTAAACACTAAAAAAAGGTTGTAGAAATAACTAAATAATTATCATTACTAACCTGTTTTAATTTTTAGACCACACGTTACCATGGGAAATTCGAAAAAAGCCCAGTTTGTTTTACTTGGTGTGATTTTGATGGGTATGTACAACAATAAATAAATTATTTTAGATAAAATTATTGCTTTCACACAATTGAATGATAAAAAAAAAATATTTTTACATTATCATTTAGTTGAAAGTATTTAGTGAGTTAATAAGTAAAACTTATTTTTATAAACTCTTACTGAATAATAGTTGAATGGTCATCCATTGGCTGAAATCGTATAAATGTTTCATGGATAAGTAATGTTGGCAGATAAAATAAACTAGAAAATTGTATTCGTCCTGCTGACGGAAGGAAACGCAAGCTTACTTTTTTGGAACTTGACTTTAGATAACGAATCTATGGAAGATTAACTTTAAAATGATTTCTTATTCTATGCTATATCTGCTGTAGTTAAGAAAAAAATCATTGTACATAGATAGTTGCAATTGTTTCATCCAGTACAATAAGATACGAAAAAATTCGACGACATACACACGTAACTTACGGTTTTAGAAAATAATAAAATTTCCGAAAAGTCTTATAATTCCCTAAACAAATTTTGATTATAAAAATGCTAACTAACAGTTATGTCTTATTAGTCTTAAAATTTGACTTTTTTTTTAATTAAAGTTTTTTCCCCCATCAGCAAGAATACAACTAAATTTTCGGAATTTTGGTTAAAAAAACAAAAAGTAGGGAGGAATAATTTGCGCAGAAATTGGGTGTTATTAATCATTTTAACTATAAATTTGTTAATCTAAATTTCCACGTTTTTTTTTTTGTTTTTTTTTTTGTAAGGTGTAACCCTTAAAATAGGAATTTGTCTGTTCGGATTCATTTGAATTGTGTCGTTTATTTGATTGTTTGTTTGTTTTTAATTTCGCGCAAATCTACTTAGGGGTTATCTGCGCTAGCCGTCCCTAATTTGGAATTGATAAATAAGAGAGAATACAGTTAATTATCACCATCTACCACGAAACTCTGGTGCTACTCTAATCGAATAATGGGATTGACCGTCATCTTAAAAAGTAGATTATTTTCGGCCCACACATCGCGAGTCGAGTGCTCTGACCACAAGGCTATTCCAGGGCTCCCTTGAGATGAAAACCAAAAAGTTCGTTAAACATTTTTAGCTGCAGATTGTTAGATTTATATGAAATTTTTTACCAGATGTATTCGTTTGGAAATCAACATTTTAGTAAGGACACTTTTTAAATGTTTTAGCTAGTGAAATGTTGTTAGATTATACCTTAGTCATCAAATCATCAAACTACTGTTTATTTGTTAACACTTTCAATGTATTTTACTTTCTCAGGTTTTATCCTTTCTGCTCACTCCAAACGGGTAAGTTCAGTTTTCCAAAAGTAATATCCCCTTTATATTTAATATGTCCAACATTTTAGAATTTTTACTTCATTATAAAAAGATGTCTTTCCAAATGGTGTTTACTTCTTTTTTTAATAAAAAATCAATTCCATCTTATGTTTTAAGTTTAACTACTTTGTCTTTATTTCACCAGCACTTAGTATAAATGTTCTACTTTCTTGTTCAATCTCGTCAGTTCGAGAATTTTAATATGTGTAGACAAGTTATTTATCACGTTGACGATTACTACATATACAACACTTTATTATATACTTAAGGTAACACTAGATGCTCGTATATTTAGTTTTATTTTACACACATTTGCTCAGATAAAAAGTGTCCCTTCTATTCACAAAAAAAGAGGAAAACCCCATTTATGTATATAGAAATGACAGAGGTTTTTCTTTAAACTGCCTTGCGCAATAGTATCGAACAAGGGTCGCTGGTTAAATACAGTAATAAGATTAGCGAAAAACTTATTTATATATTTCTACTTTTTATGGTAGTCAAAACCCAAAATTGGAAAACTATTTTCTTGCTTACAATTGTTTCAATGTCCGTCTTTACTACCACCGTAACAAGTGTTAGAGACAGAATGACCAACGTTGTTTTGTGTAACAAGTTTCTATTTTGTTTGTTTGAAGTTAAGCGCAAGGCTACACAATGGGCTATCTGTGCTCTGACCACCACGGGTTTCGAAACCAGGTTTCTAGCGTTGTAAGTCCGCAGACATACCGCTGTGGCACTGGGGTGGGGGCAAATAAGTTTCTGTAAAAATGTTTTAATGACGTCGTTTTATATTATGAAGTTATTTAAAATAGTTTTTATTGTAAGATACATAAATTCATAATACATAATACATATAGCAAAATTACAATTAAGAAGTGTAAGTAGATGTAATTTTGTTTAGGGTTATGACAATAATCAAAACTTTAGTACATAATTATAAAACTCCTATATGTATTTAATACTTACAATTGAAGAGACAACAATCCTTTTTATTTTGTTTATAACTTCCTATAGAACTAAATCAACGGTATGCATATCGTATATCTGTTAGTGTAGAGCTTTTCACCATATCTTAGTAAATATTTAACTTAATAAGAATCTTGCTTACAGGTGAAACGCTGGGGAAAGGATTATAATGGTGGTGGTAGTTACGGAGGAGATGGTTTTCAGACTAATGATGCAGGAGGAGGATACACGGGAGGAAAATCTAAACCAATTCCTAAAACCAATTTTAAGTGTTCTGACCAAAGTTACATTCCTGGTTACTATGCTGACGTGGAGACTAACTGTCAGGTAGGCTTACACTTTAAACAGTAAGAAATTAACAATTCTTATTTTTAATGTTTTGAGGGAACCTTCTGATTAATTAATTCAAAAATATAATAACTGCGACTTTTATAGTAGAGAAGTTCTGATTATAATGATTGCAACGTTTCGGCCCATAATAATGGGTCATCATCAGATAAGTTATATTCAATGTTATTGTTACATGATGAAAACCCGATACTATGGGACGAAACATTGTAATTATCAAAAGCATAACTTCCCCACTGTAAAATTTGCTAGTATTTTATTTTTGAATTAATGTTTCTGTAGAGATTAACTTTTTTAGGTCGAGCATGTGCATTCCTTCATTAAATTTTACAAAACAGAAATATTTTGCCTAAACATTATGGTATAACATGTAAAGTTAATTTTTTGTGTAAACTTGTTATAAATGTACTTATGTGCTTATTAGTCACTATGCTTATGTGCTTATTAGTCACTATGCTTATGTGTAAAACAACCCACAAATTATTCTAAGACAGTTTCAAGTGAGATCTAAATCTTGAAACATTTATTCAGGTTTACCACGTTTGTCATCAAGGCCGAATGGAAAGTCAGTTCTGTCCACCAGGAACAGTTTTTAATCAAGAGATATTGGCTTGCGATTTTGAAAATAGTGTAGAATGTTTCAAATCACCGAATTTCTACTTTAAGAATCAAGAGTTGGATAAGTTTCCTCTGGCAAAGCCTCTTCAAGGACCTGGATCATCTGGTTTCCCTTCAGGACCTCAGAAACCAGGAAAACCATTTAAACCCCAGGGATCAGGTTTTAGACCAGGACAACCTTTTGGTCCTCATGGTGGACCCCAGAGACCAGGACAACCTTCTGGGCCTCATAGTGGACCACAGAGACCAGGATTTGGACCAGGACAACCTTCTGGGCCTCATGGTGGACCACAGGGACCAGGGTTTGGACCAGGACAACCTTCTGGGCCACATGGTGGGCTCCAGAGACCAAGTTTTGGACAAGGACCTCAGTCAGGACGACCTACAGGATCTCAGGGCAATCCAGTATGGATGATGATGATGGGAGGTGCTGGAGACTAACTAGATCAATGATATGCTTGCTTAACATGTTTTTTAAATACTTAATCTTAAGATTTATTGTTCAATAACAAATGTTCTTTGTACTGTGTTCCAATAACTAATTGTTCAACAAATGTTCTTGATCATTTGCTATTTGAAGATTTTCTACTTTATATTCTGGAACTTTAAAATACGTTGTTTACCAATCACGAATGTTTATCTTATTAATACAAAATTAAATGCGACAGTCTGAATAAAAAAAACTGTTGAAAATGAAAACCCAGTTGGACTTCTTTACTAAAATCAAGAACAATGTTTATAATTCATCATCAATCTAGCATTTTTATGTGAAACATATAAAAATTCAAACGATAGCAAATGTCATGCAGAAAACATTCGTGTCAATTTTTTTGAATGGCAAACTGCAGTTTTATAATAAAATTCGAAGAGAAATGATTTTAACAGCATGTAAAATTCTCAAAAATATTACATCATAAAAATCAGTTAAACTGTATTAAAAGTAACTACATCAAAAAATCAGCTATATGAAGTTAAAAAGTAACTATATCATAAAAAAATCAGTTACATGATGTCGGCCAAAAACATAATTAAATACCACTGGTACTGCAACGTCGCACATTACATCAATGGGCAAATACTTGTAATTTTTTTAACTGTATAGATGAATTGTAGGCTACGTTTTTAAAAGTTTAGATAAACGATCTTTACACTCCAGATGCATATATATATATATATTTGTTTTTATTACTACCAACGTTTCGCTTTTACAGCTTCTTCAGGCTTAATACATACAAACTGTTTGATATTGAAGTATACGTTAATTTATAAAATTGATTGTGATGTTCCATCTCTCGAGTCTGTCGCACGTGTCTCCAACAATGTATAAAATATCATTGTTGTTTCATTATTGTTCTAATATAGTATACTTATATTACGTAGCTATACTAACACATGACATATATTAGTAAAATAAATATAAAAATAACCGAAATATGTTTTATGATTAACTAAAAACACACAGACAGAAAATAGAAGTTGCTAAGAGACAATAGTAAGTGGAAAGGATTCGAAATTTACCAGCAGTGTTAAAAACTAATTTTAAGAATGTGTGGTACTCCAGAGTAAGCAAGTTTTAAACTGGAAGTAATAAGTGTAAGATATATTGAAACAATTGTTGTTCTGTGAATGGTGTTTTGGTTACACGTACCATCCATTGTCTCTGTTCATTTTTTTAAACTTTTAATTTATACTCTTGTTTTGCTCACTAGAGGGTATTATTCTGTGACGTCATAAACGACGCATGACCTCTGAAATTTGGGAGACAATACACAAGGACATAGTTCGTCGGCCATATTAACCACATCTATTTTGACGAATAAACAAACCTGCACGTGGCTTTTGACAAGGTATGGTGAAAGTGCTTAAATACCCATCTGTATGCCTTCAAATCACTTTGTTATGCTATGAAATTTTATGGAATCATTATAATAACAGAGCATTGAAGCCAATAATTACCAGTCACACCCAGTAATTATATTTATAGGTCTATTAGTCTTACACTTACATCAGTTGTGGGAAATGTATTGGAAAGTCTGGTAAAGATGCTTTGCAATGTTATTTAACAAAGTTTAGAATTTTATTTGATAATTAACATGGTTTCGCTAAGGGAAAATCTTGGCTTACAAATCTTTTGACATTCTTTGAAAAGGTTGTTACTGTTACGACAGCGGAAGTCACGTGACACTGGTAACACGTGATGAGTATCTAGAAGTTTCCGGAAGAGACGAGTGCGTTCTCAACGCGCGCTTTTATTGTATATAAGCGCGGCAAATAAAGCGAGATAATTAATTGAATTGCAGACAGGCAGAGGTAGAGAAGGACAATTGAGTCAAGCGCGGTAAAGTGCGTGAATCGTTCGTTGTGAATTATAGCGTATGTTTAAGTTAAAGTAACTGTGGAAATTAAGTGTATTGCAAAGTTGTATTGAGAAAGAATAAACTAGTTTTATTTAAGAAAGGACTTGTATCGCTAAAGTTTCATCCGAAAGAAATTATACGGGAAATTAACAAACGAACAGAGACGTAACATTACTTATGAAGATAAGGGTAAAGGTGTAATTTGGTGTATTTGGAATTTCAGAAAGCATTTGGCAGTATTAAGGTTAATACACTGTTAAAGTTATTTCCATCCAAATTATAATTATAAGTTATGATTACCCACATGCGTTATCTTGCATTTATTATAATTAAAACTCATCTGCCATATTTTGTAAAGCAGCAGCATTCTCTTCACAGCTATCAACACCAAATACCTTAACATCATCAGCAAATGTAAGTAATTTATTCACCCTTCCTTCACCCATATCACAGATGTAAATCAAAAAGAGTAAAGGTTCTAAGACTGAGGTACCCACTTGTGACAAAATCCAGTATGACGGACTCCATTTATAAGAAACCTCCGCTTTTATTTTACATTCAGCCACTCTTCTATCCAATTAGCTGACTTATCTCTCACACTTATAGAGATAATTTTGTTTACAGGCCTTTTATGTGGTACCTTGTCAAATGCTTTCTGAAAATCCAGGTACACCAAATCTACAGCCTTACTCTCATATACATAAACAGTAACCTTTTCCTATATTTGTATTTTATCCTGTTTTAAAATCCTAGGTATTGTAAATATATTCTGAAACATAAACATAGAATATAATGAGAAGGGGCAGCTCGAAGTTATATGTAACAGATTTGTTAATATACAACCAGATGCAAGTATAGAGCCGGTTGTTAACTATAACATAGGCCTAAATAGTTTCTATAATAGCCCACAGGGCTGTAGTTATCACATTTATTTTTCTCTTAAAAGACACAAGTGCACTATTAAACATTACCTTTGAAAGGGTGAGGTTTGATAAATTATAGTTGTGTGTGAATTTCTATATTTAACTGCCTGATGACGTATGTAATTGCTGCAGTTAGGGGTAGAATGAATGAAGATAATCTGCTTTGTTTACTCTTCAAAATCCTCAGCCTCGTTCTTGCGACGACCTTGACATACCATATAGGGGAAATAGTACCCCTGTATTTGAACAACATAAAATCCCAAGTTGGACTACAGTTGGATGGTATTGATCATTACTAATTTGTCTGTTACTGGGTCAGTTGGACTGAATTCAATTTCCAGATGTTTTATTCTAGTGTGGACGTCTTTTTGTATTTACTCGATCTTGTTATCATAACCTTCTGTACTTTTTCTATGGCTTCACTGATACAATGTATTTTTATCCGTAATTCGTCTGTAAATTTTGTTTCATTCTTGTAATTCCTATCTTAACTTCTTGTTCCCCCTTTATTGATCCTCTTTCAAATTTCTCTCTTTTTTTTTTTTTTGGTCATTATTCGTCTTGGTCATCTTTTCATCACTTCCAACGAATTTTGATCTCGTTTTAGATTATGACAATGACATCATAAGAATGACAGAAACCATATGAGACACAATTTTACCCAAATTTTCAAAAGAAAAACCTAAAATAAAGTGGTTAACACTATCTATAGCATCTTTAACGAATTTTCCGATATTCTTCAAATAGCGTAGATACGGTAACTTAAACATAAAAATTATAAAGAAAGCAGAAAAAATTCTAAAAATAAAACTGAATATGTAAGCATTGAACAAAACTAAATATTTCTTAGAAAGCATTGAATATTATAATACACATCAAAACCGTAAACAAGGCCCATACTGCACTTGAAAATTGTCACTAAAAGCAGAAAATAGTCTAAAAAGATTTCTAGTGTGTACAAAATAGATTACTTTTGTTTGTTTTATAATTAGGCACAAAGCTGTACAATGGATATCTGTTTTTTACCACTACAAGCCTTCAGACTTACGAAGGGGAGGGACAAAATGGATCACTTCACTTTATTTACAGTGGTTATAAAATTTGACTTATACTGTAACGGGTTATGCTGAACTTCAACATTTTCAGTCAGAGCAAAATGTAAAATTTTAACCATTAATTTACACTCTGATACAACTAGTTACTCGAAATTCATAAACTTTTTATCCAAAGTTATAACCCAGCTCTGCAAGCGAGTATAAATATCTGAGTACAGGCGTTCTTCAAATGTGCACTATACATAATTAAGCCATACTGTTGCGGTAAGTATCCAATATCAAGAACAACTTTTTCTCTGTTTGTGGACACATCTCCTTCTAAAACAGTTGATCCATACAGACCAAACTTGGCATGCTAACTTAATAGTTCAAAAGAAAACCAAATTCACACTAAAATTTCCCATACATTAAAAACTATAAATATTTTATAGAATAACCCCTATATCGTTACTGCAGTAGCTATTATAAATAACTTAGTTTGAACAAAACTCGCACCACAATAAAATGTCAAAGATTATAAATAATATATCCAGCTACAATGCAGAAAATAAAGATATTCCTGCTGTTTGATTTTTCCCGCTCTTTTCTGATTCAACTGCTTTGTAATTTCTGCCAAGTTTCTCAACTCGACTGCTACACCTTCTCACTTCTGATCCACTTCCCCTGTCTTACAACAATTTTCTTGGAGAATGAACGCTAGTGAAAATCCTCACAGAGACTTTGCTCATTTTTATCCAAACTGTGCATGGTTTCTGCGTTTTCAAAAGAAAAACGACGGAGGGGTGCATCTCCTTAAAATATCCTACACAATATTTAAGGTAAGACGTTTAAAGTACATTACAAGAGCTTCAAGAAGAAAGCCAAATATAGGCTGAGAGTTCAATCTACTTGTAGACTTTCGCCGGATCTGTTGGGCATTCACAAAGGGCAGAGCTGGATATGCAAATCGCCTCTCAAAACATTAGTCAAATTAACAGCTACTTAATTTTTAATTATACCGCAAGTATCGTGAATAACAGGATATAAGAGATTTTAAAACCACATAAAGCATTAAAATTTCAAACGATATTTGACAATACCGACACAAAAGAAAATTCGGAAATCGTGGAAAAAATTTCAGTGGTATAAATATTTTACCCAAAGTTATGAATTCTCAGTTAGACCGCAACCAAACTCGTGTAAATAATGGGATTAAATATACCCCCAAACTATTACTTAATGCAGCATTTAAATTTCTAACCATTAATTTATACCCTAATAGAATGTGCTACTCTTAACTGTGCCATAAATTATATGCAAAGTTATAATTTTCAAATATATTGCAAACACTAGGCTACAAAGGATTTGAAAACTATAGCATAAAGCAGAAAAATTTCTAAACAATAAAAAAATGGAAAGTTCAGAACTCGTGAAAAATTTCGGTGGTAAAAACATTATATCAAGAGTTATGCGTTTTCAATTACTCCGCAATTCAACTAATGTAAATAATGGGTTACAATGTACTTCAAATTGCCTCAAAGTAGCAAAATTTATTGCACTGCACTGTATCCATAAGAATATTTGCTGTCAGGGTAAACTGTGTGTGTAAGCATAGTATACATTCAGAAGCTACAAAACAGAATTAAAACTCGAGAAAATGATTAGACTGTCAAATATTGTTTTAGTTTGTTCCCAAAGGTGGAGCTTGGAGTAAGTACACAAATTTGTTCATCATAAGTTAGAATAATATCAGTCAAGAAAAAAAATATTTTTTACTGTCTCAACCATGATTTGTTTGTTTGAAGGTAAGCACAAAGCTACACAATGGGCTATCTGTGCTCTGCTCACCACAAGTATCAAAACCCGGTTTCTAGCGTTGTAGGTCCGCAGACATACCACTGGGGGGCTTCAACCATGGAGAAGAGCCTGAATGCAAAAGCACCTGGAATTACAGTAAATATTACACACTCAATTCATTTTTATCTAATTAAAAGCAGCTTTAATTTTCCACATAACATCCCCGTTTTCAAACCTAGTCGATTATTCTTACAAAAAAAAGTAATTCTAAAATAAAAAATGTAAGAAATACATTTATAACTACTCACCAGCCAAAATGTTTTTCTGAATCTTTAATCATTAATGTTAAATTCTAGCTTAATGTACGTATATATAATGAAGTAACATACATTTACCTACAACTTTCTAATTTTCGTCTCACACTATCAATCTAAATAACCCGATGCACTTATACTTGTTCAAATGACAGTAAATCGTTGACTGGAAAGCTGTTCACCAACATATATTTTCTCTTAGTCTTAAGTTCATGATTGACAAGTTTTAATACCTTAGTATTTAGTTATGTCTCCTCAGACAGGCGTACCGTTTTCCTATTGTTTCTTCTTCCTCCAAACACTTTTCGGTCGACCGCCATTCCATATTTTTCGGCGGATTGACTTCAAATTTGGTAACGTTATACCTTGGTCGAATATGCCCAGGTACCTTTTACGTTTTATTTAGGCCTTTTTAAGGATTTTATGGGGTCAAAGGTAAAATAACCAAAAGATTTATATTATGGGCTCCTGTGTGGTCATATTTACAGCTATCTTGATGAAAATTGGTAGAAATATTAATTTTCATGCAGCCAATATAGTGACATAAAAAGTGAACTTGCTGTGTTGGAATCTTTTTTTAAGGTGGTCAGAGCTCATAAAAAAAAGTTTAATTTTGGAGTTTTTGGTCAACTACTCGATCGTATTTTGATCAATTTATATTAGATTTGTTACAAAGATACTTTTCTACAGGTCCCAAACAAAAATATAGACAATTTTTTATCCTTTACTCAATTATTCCGGGGAGGGGGGAAAGCATAATTTGGGGTTTTCGTGAACTATTCATGTAAATTTCATCCAACTTAAAATGGAATTTAGTAAGCTGTACCTTCTTGCATGTCCCAAGCAGTGAAATAAAGAGTTTTCGATTTTTCCAGTGTTTTTCACGACTTTCTGGTGTCAAAATTGGCCATGTTGGGATTGCGTGGCGGATACGTGTTGCAGTAGCCCGCAAATGTTGGCCTCTTTTTAATTGGAGTATTTCAATGATTGAAAAACATTAAACTTTGTCCCACCAAAACTGAATTGTAACTGCAAAAACTTTTAGTTTACTGAAGCCTATGTGGACGATTATAATTTTTGTTTCTACAAGTTACTGTGTGTATACTATGTTACTGATAATACAGTATTGCTCCTAGGACGCGTACTTTGCGTATTTACGGCATTTTGATTGCCACTGAAGTACGAATATATATATATATATATATATATA